ATACGGCTGCATATGTACCCATGTATGCATGCAGCATCACGGCCGCTTCATACCAATCCCTTCGCTTCATAATTTGCTTAGCAAATGAATGAATACGAGCGTCAGGAACGGTCGTCCATTTGTGGGCGGGCGGGCGTGGCGGGCGTTTGGGTCGGAATGTTGTGGCTTGATAGGGCCCTTATAAGGGCACCTTCCTCGGGGAAACCGCTATGCAGCGCCTGCCCAGGGTCGCGGAATTCTATCCTGCCAGGAGTATTGATCCTAGTCGTCTTGGGGGATTTATCGTGCCAACTGCCTTTAAGAACGCCGCATAAAGAACTCCAGTTTGAATAAATCCGATGACAGGCGATTGCTGGCTTGTCCATTCAGGTATGCAAGACGAAACCGAAAACTGATTGGATGGCTTATAAGCATTATTTGTGTGAAGGCTACAGAAGCAAATCCTGAGAAAAACGCCTTTTGCTTTCGTAACCATGCAAAGCTTAAGAGCAAGGAACTTCCGTTCGGAACATCATTCTTATAGTTCATTCTCACGCCACAAAAGCTGTGCTTCAGCAGTATCACAGGCGCAAAGATCACCAGACGATAAGGGATTGAGAATTTTTCCAACATCTCGAGTTGCAGATTTGGTGGATAACACGATTAGACCGACCATCTCGAAAGCCAAGGAGACGGAAATGTCTCGGCAAGCATTTTACGATGATGTACTGAGGAAAGGAATTGGGAGAAGGGTGACTTTTAAACTTTCCAATAGATTTCCATATTTTACAAGTGAATTTTCCTCGAAAACATTTGTTCCTGCAATAAAAGCTTGACAATAATTCAGGCTGGACCAAAACTAAATATTTCACTGATTGCCGCTTTCGAGTCCAATGAACAAATTGAAGTGACCATCACGTCAACAGGGAAGTACGGGTACGTTTCCCTTCCCTAGATTACGTTACATGTATCTTCCCAGCCTCATGCACATCACCCCTTCCTCCTTTTCTAGGCATACGTATCTGTTAGTTAAGCACTTAATAGGTACTGCATCAAGTTTGTAGAACTTTCCTGTAGAACTTGCAACTCACCACGCACAGAAAGCTTGTTCTGCCTGACCACAAGGAGCCTCTGATGTGTTTGGATACGCTTTTGTTCATACGGAAGATTTCGAATTAGGTGAACACAGGGACCCGAAGCTGAAAGACTCTCCTTATTTGTAGCCGCACATTTAGCAGCATAGGTCCAGCATGGGGTTAGGAAACAGGTAAAGTTGGTCTCCATGTAGCAGTCACGAATCGGTGCAGAGGCATTCGCATGCAAATTCACCGATCTCCTCGATTGATGAATTAAATGAGGTGGGTGGTTCTCGCTAAATGGGCTGATGTCGACGCTGCACCCCCCCCCCTCTCCCTCCAGTGGTATGGAAAGGATTTGAAAAGAGACAAGCAGTCGGCAAAATCTTCGAGAGAACTCGGTAAAAAAGCGTATTCAAACTGACCACACCTACAAATCAAGATTTGTTGCAAACTTGGGAGAATCCACTGAATTGTGAATGAGTTACTCCTTTCAGTGACACCGTTCATTGCCGCTACTTCAATGAATCTAAGTGTGAACTTCGTCCAGGAATGAAGAGCGTTGTTTTCCCCGAGTTCACCGTTCAGTGTCCACGGCGAGATGGCGCAAAGTACATGTCGCTCTCCGATACATTCTCTGGAGAGTTCGAGTTCCCTGTGCCTATCACTGATCGTACTCGAAACGGTTTGTTCTCCTTCAAGGCATCATGGAAAAACCTTAGCGGTTCTCTAATTGGCTATTGTGTAGCTCTCCTTGCTTCAGAAGCAACACACTTCTTCTCGGTTTGCCTATCTCCACTATATGGTACGGAGCCGAAATGGTTGTTATTGGCAGAATTTTTCGAACATTACAAGTTGCAGGTGAGAAAACATAACTAGCTAGAGTGCGCAGTCAATAAGCAAGCTGTACGGCGGTGTTATGCTCAACATGAGCCAACTTTTTGGAAATGTTTTTGTTTTCACTGTTCTCTAGTTGGTAATCAGAACAATGCCTAGATGATCTGATTCAGTGACATCTTGTTTTATAACGGGTATAAGGAAACCTATGTAAGGCGGTTTGAGCAGGCGCCAGGGTGGGGGCTACTAGACAAGCGGGTGGCATTTGAACAGTGTAACAGGCGACTACCCTTGTCATACTGTGATATCTGCTCTGACCAGAAAAGGTCAACAGGTCAGCCTGGCTGCCATGGGTCATGCACGTCCATTGTATCCGTATGAGACGGTGAACTCGATGCATCTTCAAAATTTTTCCCCGACGATTCTTCCGAGCGGAGCTATGAGTTTTTCTTTATGTATGTATTCTTAAGGCAGCGCTGCGCGAAGCATTTGGCACATGGTAGCGCGACTCACACCTCCTTGGGCGCCAAACAAGTATCATATTTGCTGTTGAGGGGTCGAGGCACCCCTAGAGACGCCACTTAGCAAAACCTGAGCTTCTGACCCAACTTCGAAAAAATGGGGTATGGATAGTCATGGCTGACTGATAGCCAACAGCGATACTATGACTAGCATACTGGTGATGACTGGTCTTCGAACGGAAATAACTCTTCAGTCATGTCTTTTCGCAAACAACAGTACCTGGCTTACTTATTGCTGCCCGTCCTGCATCATTTTTCTGACGTATCGCGGACGAATTCCATTCCAAGACCAGTCATCGATGGTAGGTAAGCTCCAATCTGCTGCTAATTACCCATGGAATAGCCCACATTTTCCAAGTGAGGTCGAAATATCAGATTCGGCTAGAAACTTGTCCCCAGGGGTAATTACCATGAAATACAATGAAATGATAACAAAACATGAATATGATAGTATTTCATGGAAGCACTCTTTCAGGCCGCAATGGGTCTACACTTTCAAAAAAAAAACTGATCGCAGGTTCCCTTATAGGGTAGTGCAGGCGAGCAGAGATGTTAGAAGCTTTGTCGGCTATGTTCTTGGACAAATGCAAAAACGTGATCTGGCCCGGAACCGATCCTACGACGTCTCGCCTAAGAAACCCGCTCCCTACCCGTTGCGCTCTACTACCACGTTTCAGCATGACTCCATACATAAATGTAAAGACGCTTCCACGTTTCCTCGCGATAGCATGTGAAACGACCACGCGGGGATAAGACCCTCCATAACTCCGTTCAGAGAATCGTTCCGCAAATTCTGAAGGTAGATTTGAGTTCACTGTCCCAAGACGCGTACAACGGTGTGCAGCTCATTGGAAATAGCCGGGACCTGTTGACCTTTCCTGGTGAACTCACCTTTGCATTGTAAACTCGAAATTCTTGACATGTGGGATCTTGATCTTCACCAGAGGAAAGCACTAGGGAGGAAGACACATTGTTCGAAAACGCCTCCATCAAAGCCTTTGCAATTGATTCCAGGTTGATCCGTGGGATTCTTGTGAAGGGATGGGAAAAGAGGGGGGGGAGTACGAAAGTTGCTCAACCACAGTCACAATCGCAATGTTGAGCCACTTGCGCTCAGGTGAAACTATCTGAGCAACCTTACTCTGTTTAGCGCCATCCAGTAACTTTCTGGCGCTAAACAGATGCATGGTTGTTTACTGTGGCAAAACGCTAACGCTCCCCGCCTACGGCACTAATTTCAAATAATCCCGAAATGTGCCTTCATTGTTCAGGGAGCTTCACACTTTTTCGTCTATGTGATAAACGTGGATGAGTACAGTAACATCCTGTTGCATGATTATGTTCGAACTGGTGAAGTAGAGCTTATTTACTTGCACGACAGATCCACAAGGACTGATAATTGGTGGCATATTGTTCAGATTCAGGTGAGATTCATCGTGCAGTATCAAAGACCATTAACGCCCGTATTTTTTGATGACACTTCAGTCAATGGATGATATTCCGTTTGCATGTTGTGACTGGAAGGAAATATCAGCAGTGGCGAGGGCCTTTGAATACAACGAGGTCCAAAATCGATTTCGTTCTCAAAATATGAGCGTCGAGATGCGCTGTGGGCGCAGAAATTAATGTTCCGATTAAAGTACTGATTATGTACCCGTTATAAGATGCGATTGGTTTTTTTCAATTTCTTGAACTTCACGGGAGGGTTGCTGTGTATTTTCCTCACCTGAAAACTATTATATTCCGAGATTTTTTTTAATGATTGGTAATTGTTTTATTTGCCAAACAGTTCATGTTCATAGTATTTCCCTCTCTTTCGTGTACCAGAAGATCATGGCTGGATCTTTGCTATCTTGATACGGCACAGGTTCCTGAGAGAGAAAAAATTTGGACGATTTTTAGAAAGTGCTCGCGAAGCCTGCTGAGCTCTGTAACGAATGAGATTGTCCCATTGTTCTTGTTTGTTCGATCTTGTTGAAGTCCGACTTGCTGCTTCATGTCGGGTTATAGCCGAACTTCTGCAGTACATTATGGAGCAGGTGCCTCTAATAGGAGCTCTGCAAATAGAATGCGGTTAAGAGATCCATGGTCCGAGTGTTTATAGAGATGACCGTGTCTTTTAATGGATTATGGCTCGCAAAGCACATGGCTGAAGGGAAGGTCCAAACAGTTACCGCTGTATTAGAGTCAGACACTGCTTTTCACCAAACTGTGAAACAACGGTTTAGCTGTTTCGTTGAAGGTAGCACTAGCTGAAGAAGTAGCCTTTGAAAGGTAGCACTAGCTGAATAAGCTACAGCTAGAGATCCTTGAGATCGGGTAGAGCCACGTGGCCGCCTGTTTAAACTTATCCGTTAAGGGGCGTCTTACGCTTCTGATGAAAGCGATATTTTGCACTCTGCGCCACAGTCGTTGTCGTGTCTCTGTCCACAGAACAACGATGAACAGCTGTCAGAGAACTATATATCCACTAGTAACCAGTTCCTTTAGCAGTGTTTTCGAATTCTCGCCTCGACGCCGAGTCTCAGGGATTTCGAGCATATCCACGCGCAATGCGCGCACTTGCGGTGCCCAGTCACCGTGGATACCTGTCTGCTGTTAGAATGAAGTTACTGTGAGTAGCATGTCGTATCGGCCCACGATCGCGCGGTATAGGAAGCAGACATTTGGGCAGTCGCGGTGGCTATGTTGTTTTCCTCATCCAGAGTGGACTAAGCCACTGAACATGACGGCTTGATGGACCCCGCATTCATTGGCCGACCACGTACGACTAGGGCCTTTGACTGAACTTAAACAAAGACTGTGTCTGAGCGCATGTACAAGACTTTCTCAAGTTGATCAGCGCTGAAAATGAGAGCTGGGTGCATTAGAACCAACATTCCTTCTTGCTGCTGCGCGGCTTAGGCTCACCAGCCTAATCAATGCCGATATCCTCATTCTGAGAAGTATGGCAGGTGGTCGTTGACGATGCCTGTTGACGGATACCTGTTTGAGGCACCTCTGAGAGTTAGCAGCAGAAAGACGCAATAAGTGTAACGCAGTAAGTAACGATCCAGTGTTTTCCTTCATGGGGTGGTGTGTAGCCTCAAATTCCAAAAAGGACTCGTCAGATTCTAGCAGAACCAAGCTGGAGTGAACCACCGCATTGTTCTATTGCTTCTCCATAGAAGCACCACTTGCTCATTACCCTGGCCACTTTCTCATGGGAGATAAAATTGAATAAGTTCAGTCACCTCAAAAGCAACTCCAGATTCTTCAGCCGTCTGCATTCAGTCATCGGCTAGCGGACTGCTATACCTAAGTGGTTCTGCTGGTGATAATGTTATTGACTGGATGTTGATTAAAAGAGGGTAGACTTATTATAGCGAACTGTAGAATGTTTTCAGGATTGCCTGATCCGCTCTCGTGGTTACTCAAGCTGGGTAGCATTCGTTGATCTGGATGAAAGGTTATTACCCACCGAATATACAGGAACGCTAAGTGACTACCTCAAGTAAGTTCCCTGAAGCATCATTTCTTCCGTTTCCTTACATGCCTCTGATTAATAAAAGTGCATTTCACATAGAGCCGAATTAGTCTTGCAGCATATTTCGAGAAACTGAAGTCCGGTGGTAGTTGAGCTCTTCGAAAAAGGAGGTTCTCGGAAGACAGTTCAAAGAGCTAAACGAAAAAAAACCTTGCGGAAGCCAATCGATGTTACGGATGTCTTTATACTTTTGAAACGTATTGTACATGCCGCACACACTATGACCCATGCAGAGTTGCCACCAGAGTGTGAGTGTACTTGGCAGCTTTCTGATCGAGCTAGCAGTGAACTATTGAATAGATTCCAGTCCGAGGTGTCCAGCGGCTGTCCAATGTCTTTCACAGGTGGCCCGCTGACTTCACAGTGTTTCTGCTCTAATTAATGTCATTATCTGCGGCAGGAACTTTGTCAAATCCCAAAATTGGAGCCCTTCAATTCCGACAGCGATGGATCCTCAGGAATGACACCTTACCAGATAAATACGTGGACAGAGAACAGGTAACCTTCAAAAAATTCGATAACCGGTACTACCGCTATTTGTAACTCTGAGTGGGCTGATTAACCGAAAGACGGCAAAAGAGCACTACACAATTTATATACAGGGGGGGCAAAAAAAAAGTCATTCCGGCCGAGTCACATATGAGCGAAGTTTTCGCAGCCCAGACAGAGGAAGTGGATATGAGTACCAGGGCGGAAGATACCCAAGATCTTCCTCTATAAGCAGGAGCCGGCTGCCGCCATTCACCTCTTCATGGTAACGACAAATTGAAGTCAATCTCCAGTCGCGCCTGGCCTGAGTATGGAGAACGCCTTTGGAAATCACGTGGCCTTCAAAACAGCTGCGGAACTTCTTGAATGGAATCACCCATGGATAGCTACCTGGAGACCAGTACTCTTGATCTGCAAGACCTCCAACATCGAGCAGCTCCGGCAACGTCGCTACGGTCCAGGACAGTGCATCCTTCACCCCACTACACATCAAGGCAGCACGGCTTGATGTGGGGACCGACCCGTACCTGGAATGGGAAGACCGATATTTTCTTTGTAGACCCCGACTGAAGGTGAGCGCTGGCGGTTACATCGACCAACTCAAGAAGAATATATTCCCCACATGTCGTCGCCCGTACCTTCTTGGAAACTTTGTACTGCTACAGCATTGGGTGCCACCACGTGGAATCGAAGGGCGTTGGAAAAACTTTCGCCTACTTGGAATGGAAGAACGTTCAGTACCTGGAAAAGATGTGGAGTGTTTAAGCGGGGGTCCTGAACTAAACCCCCCTCAATTACTCGTTCGGCCGCGAGGGCATCACCAGGCGTGGTCTACGCGGCGCGAGATATCGCAACGATCATCCGGCTCAACTCCGGTAGCCACATCACACTCAGCTTCACTTTGCGCGGCCGAATCTCTCGATGGCGCTCCTCCAGAAGGCTGTGGTAGAGTATCATTATAGTACTTAATGTGCTCTTTAATATGGTAGTAAAAATGTCCGATAAAAATTTAATAAAGTGTAACTTATTAGGCGTCCTTGAAAGTCCTGGAAGCGCAAATTACTTTTCTTTTTATCCAACTCCTGCTAGTGCCATGGCCCAAACGAGCTCGCATCCTCGCCTACGTCGCAAGGCTGCGCCGCGCTTCTACCCTCGGACAAACTAATTCCGTACCAGGAAAATTCGAAAAGAAACATCTCGGTTGTTCTTACAACAATCGACGCCTTGCGTAAACAAGCGCATCCATGCGTGCCGCCCAATTCTTACCTAAAAGTGGAGTGCGACTAGTGAGTAAAACAAATGACGCGAAGTTCAGCCTTAAGTTGCTTTTTGTTTTCCCTTACATGTTCTTTTAGATGGAAATTTCTCAGATCAATTGGCGCACCTTATTTTTCTCAAGAGAATATTTTCTAAATCGAATGTGGCGTTCGATTGGATTCCACGGGAGGCTTTGATCAATGGTAATCCAAGAGTTTCCGATTAAGCCAAGTGACTAAATTCAAGGTGAGGCGGATGGATGCCGAACGAAGAGATATCACAGACCTCACAGTCCGGTCCGCAGCCAGGTCATACGACCAAGTGTATCGTTGATCCCAAAAAGGTATAGTTTGTAAAATCGCTATCAGTCAGGGACGGCGTGGAGAGAGCTAATGCCGTTTGGACTCCAGCAATTGTTGCACCGGCACCGAGCTCATTTTTTAAATTCGCCTAAGTCACATCCGCTAAAAAAAACTTGTATTAAGGGGTATAGTTTAACATCCTGATTACGAACTATGCATCCACTACTTGGCCCGCTGGCCGCTAATGGGAATGACACTACGAACGCTCCGCTAAGGCCTAGCCCAAGACGGTAATCGTAGTGGTTATCCCTGGGGCCAGCCGCCCAAGTGTCATAATTTGGAACCACGATGCGTAAAGGAACCCCATGTGTACATGCCGAGATTGGCTGAGTATACAAAGGCATTAGCCAGTGAAGAGAGCGCAGATGAGCCCGCCTCCGGCTGCCTGGCGCTAGCAGTGGTGTTCGGCTAGGGATCTATCTGAGAAAAAATCTACCAGTGCTGTCTACGCCGCAGGTGGGGTCAGCTCGTCCCTCTGGAAGTCAACCAGACTGACTGCGATGATATCTAGGGCATTTTGTTTCTGAGAATGCCGTCCCTTTCAAGTACTATTGACGTGGAGAGTTTGTCTTCGTTCGATCATCCTTGAACATATGTTGAATTTAGGTATTTATTATGAATGTACACTATGTGGACAAGTTTTTTGAAGGCTTCTCCATGCATAAAGTTAAGCCCGAGGAAGGAATCGTGAGGTGGGTATCCTTTGCGAAAACCAGGAGCGACTTTGTTTTGTTATGATAACTGCTCTTTAAAGCCGCAGTTCGCGTTCCGAATGTTATCACAAGAATGCTGAGTTATGGGCAAAAGTCGTGCCCCAGGCGGGAGTCGAACCCGCACCTCACGCTTTCCGGGCGCTATCCGTTACGCCACCAGGTTCATGCGAGCAAAAAGTCTGTGCGCTACTTCGAGCTTTACTCAGGATGCAGCTTCAGGTGTGAAGTGGTAGCAATCTAACCAGCATCACATTGTAATCTTAGAGTGCATGTTCTTGGCGTATTAAACTAAAATAATGCTGTTTTCAAAAAACAATGGTGATACGAGGTTTAGACACTACCGCGATGTTAAATCTGGCGAATGGGGCAAACGATGGTTGAAGGGAATCGAACAAATGGGCAGTTTTTCGACGACTGGATATCCTGATGAACTTCTGGCAAAGCTTGAAATGAATGCCCTGGAAGAGAATCACCATCTATCATTTATTGGGGCAGGTACAGTCTTGGAAGTCACAAAGCTGGACCTTGCGCCGCTCCACGTTGAAGTTCTTGTCCATCTCTGTAAAAATAAGATTGGATCACTCAACGAGATTTGCAGAGTAAGATGCTGTGTATTGTTTTGTACTCTGAGTCCTGTACCCGTATTAGAGAAATAGAAGTTCGCTGGAAACAAAAAATGACTCTTCGGCTACTCTATAAATACCTCTCTGTTCATGCATACACTTATTCGACGTTCAATCGAGCTGGGATTATTCAAGTTCGTATTGAATTACATTCGGAACGCATTACACCTTATGTTATCCCTCCAGTATTGTATTACCAGGTTCCTGCTGCCATTGTATTAGATATCCTGCATAGCATTCTCTGCCAGAACTGTTGCCGGAGAGAAAGCATCAAGGATACACACTGATTGCAACTAGGGTTCGTTGTCGGCTCGTAATTATCTGGCACACCAATGAAGTCTGCGGATTTTTGTTTGTTCTCTTCTTATTGAAGTATCACTTCAGGAATGTGGATCCTGTGTATTAACGAATACACTTTTGAGACATCATAATCAATAAAGTCTCCATTCACTTTATTTGTTAATTTAGATACTGTGCGGTTAGGCGAACCAAAAATGGTTGTTTCCACCTAGACATGCCAAGACCACTCACTGCAAGAATCCCAAGGAAACAATGCCACAACCTAGCATAGCGAAATTCTACCTCACCCGCCCGTACTCGGAAGATCTGCTCCATTAGTGACTATCAGTTGTTTTCGCCTTGGAGACAACCCATAGAGTGCAGCGATTTGAAATAAAAAGTGCTTAGGACATGAACTCAAAACACTCTTCAATTCCTCACAAGCAAGCTTTCAACAAAATGGGAATATAGCTCTTGTCTAAATGGACAAGTTATTATTTGCTGAGGTAAGTATTTTTCGCGCGAATAAATTAAGTTTAACCGCGTTTTTATGGTTATATCCCTTACCTTCGAAACCGGCACGAACCTATTTTATTGGTCTGCTGATTAATCTGCTTTATTAAATGATGCACGAAAGTCGAGACTAACAGAGTTCGGAAACCGCCAAGAACCTCACAAACTCGCAACCCTTCAAACCCAGGAAATGAGATGCACATCACTGTACTCACCTTGACACGGTGAACTCAGAACTGTCTTCAAAATTTGCAGAACGATTCTCTGAGCGGAGTTATGGAGGTTTTTCTTTACTGTTTTTCTTCTTACGGGCGCGCTGGCGCCGAAGCGTTGGCACATGTAGCGCGACTCACAGCGCTCTTCGCGCAAAACAGGTATCATATTCGTGTTCAGGGGGTCAAATAACCCCTAGGGACGTCACCTTAGCAAAATCTGAGCTTCTGACTCAACTTCGAAAAAATGGGGTATGGATAGTCATGGCTGACTGATAGCCAACAGCGATACTACGACTAGCCTACGGTGACGACTGATGATCGTGACTCGCCTGAGAGATAAAAGCAGCAGTTCTGGTTTACTTATTTGTAACCAACACTCCCAGCCCTATGAATTTACTTATGACTCCGTTCAAACTCACATGAAAATTTTGAGTCTTTTTCTTGTTATTGCCTTTACCTTACAACTATCCGCGCCGAACAGAAAAGAAGTTCCCCATTAGCTTTTTATGATGGTGATTTTCTACACCTATACAAACCATCGTATACCGCTACTCCAAGAGTAGCTTGCTGCCAACAAGTTGCGGCTGTAATTGACAAGCGCGATCGCTTACATGTACATACTATACAACATGTATACAACATACTTCAACGAACGATGAGAGTATTACTCTCCGACTCTCGGAGTGATGCACTGAAGCACAAGCACTATCGTTCAGAACATAAGCTTTCTCGCTGTAAGAACCAGCAGTTTAGTTGTTTTTTCTCTCGAGTCGTTTTCATATTCCATTTTTGACTAGAAGACAGCGTAAGGAAGAAATTGATAAATAGGATTCTAGAAAAGAGTTCAATCATCGCATGCATCATCTATCCTCCCTTCAGCACCAGCTGGTTGAGCGCAAGCCTCTAGTTGCCCTGCACCGTGCAAGAATTGCCCAATGGGTTTTCTTTGCTCTAGGGACGCAGCGAACTACACAGTAAGTTCACAGTAAGCGAACTTCTCAGTAACTCCAAAAATCTGAGTAGTGAGCATAAGTCTTCCCAGGCAGAATTCGAATTTGCTACGGACAGCATGCTGTGAAGAATTACGTACTT